TGAGATGGCGGGGACGGTGGTGGTGCTGGTGGGGGGCGTGAACTGGCCGCTGGCCCCGCTCTCTGAGCTCACTTCTCTGGTTGGGGAACTTTTCTTTTTGGCAGGTCGCACCTTGTTCTGGCCTCCGTTCTGCTGCTGCTGCTGCTGCTGGCGACACTTTGCCCGCCGGTTCTTAAACCAAACCTGGAAGAGTCACACAGTGGTACATGTGATTGTCGAGATCCCCCTAATTACAGTGCAAATAAAACCCAAACTCTAAGAAAATATAGACCCATAACACAAGGCTTATTTTTTCCCCAGTGCAAATAACATCCAATTTTTGTTAATCCATATGGAAAAAAGACAGATTTATTTATTCATTCGATTCCAGTTTAAATCAAGATGTTTCTACTTGTTCCTCAAGCCAGGTTTTTTTTCTAGTGGACTGATCGGCCTCATTTCATTGCTCAAATTCTCGTAATAGGGATCTACCGTTAAGTGGAATTATCTCACCCCACTGGCAGAAAGTTTTCCACTTGATTTAAGGAAGACAAAATGCTAAGCTTTAGATATAGCCTACTGTCAGTCACGGGGGGAGATGAGTTTTTTCCTGCAGATATCAATTTTTTTTAACAGTTTCAGTCGAGCCCCCCCCCATGAGATTGAGGACATACACTATTTTTCCACATTGTTAAATCTTGTTATTTAATCATTCAAATGTGTTTGACACAAAGCCCCACTTTAGCTTTGGTGTCTCGCAAAATAACAGCCATTTTTTTTCCATGACTAAAATATTTATCCATATCGATCAGTTTCCAAATATGGCAGCTGTTCTGTTAACTCACCTGTACCCGGGACTCAGGTAGGTTGATTTTTAGCGCCACCTCTTCGCGCATGAATATGTCCGGGTACCGAGTTTTGGCGAACAACGCCTCCAAAACGTCGAGCTGTGCGCGCGTAAAAGTAGTCCTCTCTCGCCTCTGCTTCCGTGGCGTTGCTGCAAGTGAAAGAGAAATGGAAATCAAATAAGATATTTCATATATATATGGAAAAAAATTAAAGCAAGTAAAAAGATCAAAAGCCATCAAAGGCAGTTCGGTAAATGAACAGATTATTTTTTTTGTTTGCGTAATTACGCACGAGTCCCGTGAGGCTTAAACGCCGGTGGCAAATTGCGCTTAAATGTTCCAGAAATGTGATTCAGTTTGAGAAAAAAATCAAAGCAATTTTCTCGTAATTAATCCAAAAAGCATTTCTAAAAATAAAATCACACTAGAGGAGACTTCAGTTCCCTCCAAGTTGAGTGCGTTTGCGCATAAAGTTTGGTAAAAAAAAAAAAAAAAAAGTATTTTTAATTTGTTTGATTTCCGTAGAAATTAATATCACTCATTTGTCTTGTATCTCCCACAATTTAAAAGTCATTATCAGATTTAGAAGTTTTGAAATTGGCCCTGATTACACACTGTAACATTGCCAGCCAATTAAGTTTGTAGCCCCAAGCCATTAATGTTCTTTTAATACTCCTTATTTATTCTTCAAAAAAAAAAAAAATTATAACCCACCTGGATAGCCCACTGATGGATGCAAAAGGTCCATTCCGGAAGTAGTTAAGCTGAGGCCATTGACTGTGTAAGGTGGTTGCTTTAGATACGACATCATGCTAATGTTTGTCTGTGGGCTGAAGTTGGAGAAAATTTTGAAAAATGGATGGAGCTCCCGATATGTACTTGGTGTCCTCTGCTCGCCGTGTGGTCCGTGTTACACCGGGCACCTGTTCAAACAAACAAATAAATAAATAAATAAAAACCGGAAAAGGACAAGAGGAGAAGACACCAAATGAAGATGCACATGTGAAGAGATATTGTTTTCGCCAAATAAGACCTCTCTCCAAAACGCACGGCGCTTTGTAAAAACCAACCACATCTCCAGCTGTCCTCATCTCTACAACCCCCCCCCCCACCCCCTCCCACAAACAAAAAGCAGTACACCGGCACTATTATTGCAACAAGTCTCTTAAAAGTTAAATTGAAGACACTTCTTTCTGTGTATCAAGTAAGATAACATTAAAAGTAGGAGTGTTAAGCTGCCCAGGAAATTTAAATAAAACTCAAACAGAACAACAAGTTAACTTCATTTGCTTTTCTTTGGCTTTATTTTATCCTGTTTGGCTCTGTATTTTATATAAAGTTTATTTATAAATTTAAACTGAAATTCAGTGGCATGTGAAAGAAGAAGCTGAGCTGATGTTATGGAAATGAATTATATAAACCACGTACAGTCAACAGAAACAATCAGCATCAATATAAGATGGCAAACCTTTTAAATAATCTTCTCGGTCTTTAAAAATCCTAAATAAAAGTGGCGTCTATACTCCTTATTTATATGAAGATTGGTGTGAATTTTCAAGACAATTTAAAGTGAATTTTATTATTATTATTATTTTAATTTTACTTGATGCAGAGAAGGCTTAATTCAGACAGAGAGGAAGTGCGTCCATATTGAACACGTAATTGCTGCAGTAGTTTAAACACACATTAATGTGCTGTGTGATGTTGATTGGTAAATGTATGATTGCTGTCACTTCAACTTCAGTGACCCTCACCCGTTATCCCCACTGCGCGTCTTGATTAGTTGCATTTTTTTTCAATATCCAACGGTTTTAACCCCCTCATCCCAATCTGTCACACTTAAAACACACCCGTCTACCAGTTGCACACACCCGCTCAATAATAATCACCCTGTCCAAGAATTAATTATGATAAATGTTCTTTTTTTTCTTCCTCTGTTGATGAATTAACGAGATAATCCGAGTGGCATTTTAAGTGGAGCTGCAGTTTGGTATCAACGCAGTCCAAAGTGCTTAAGGGCTCCTTAAAATGATGCTGCAAATCAGCAGCCGGTGGTGAAATGTAATCATATTATATTTTTCATCCAGACGTGAATAATTATCAGCACTTTGCAGAGACATATAACCACAGAGAGGACGTGTAACTCTTATAAATATTTATTCAATGGAGCCAAACTCCACATTTACGCGCATACGCACAATCTGTCACCAGATCCTCGAAAACACGTATATGAAAAGTGACGTGTTGGTTTATTGTCCTCTAAATGATCCGTCTCTGGAGGCAAGAGACAAGTAAGGCCCCGAAACATTTTCTCAAGAGCAGGCCTAAATGTTCTTTCTTCCTCTGCAGCTTTCAGCCTCACCCCCTCTACTTTTATCCATTTTTTGTCTTGCGTAATTTCGCCTGTAAATCCATGTGGAGGACAAGTCTCCAGCATGAAGTGATTTAGGCTTTAAGCTGAAACTTCACTCCCTGACTGTGGACTCGGTGTTCTCGGTGTAGCAGCACAGGCTTCAGCCAGCGAGAGTGTGAGATTTATAAAATACAAGCTCCATGAATCTCATCATAATTTTAAAAAAGGGCAATTATGATAACAGGAGAGCTTTCATTTGGGTTTGGATCTGTCTTTGTTTCCATTATAGCAGAGACTATCATGATGCATCCTCATCAGTTTGGTGCCATAATTATCTCTGTGTGCGTTTACATCATTTACGTGGTTAAAATGTATGTTGGTGTAAAAAGGGTTTGGTGAGCACATACACTTACTGTCTCTGCTCAAATAAAAAAAAAGGCTGAGTTAAAGAGGGTTTAGCCTTCATCTGCAGCCTAAAGCCTCCTCAGTGGCATTTCTCTCTGCTTCTTCGTTGCTTTTATTTAAGCAGGAGTTCTGTTGAATCACTGTTTTCCATCTTTTATAGAAAATGTATTTGTGGGCCTTTAAACGTGGGTTTATAACCGGGGTGATTTTCTGTAAGCTATTTTTTTTACTTCTTTTACTCTATTGTGATTCCTTAATTCGATATAGGCTTGTAATAATATGAATATTGATCGTAACAATGACGATATTTTTAATTATACTAGTAGTAATAAAAGTCAAACATACCCTGGTATCGACGGCTGTAAAGTTCTTTGTCTACTTGGTGTCCTCCAGCAGAAATAACCAAACTCAGAGCAGATAAACGGCGTCCTGGCGGATAAAAAAACACAAAACCAAGCAGAGGCAGGAGCAGCCGTCTTCCTCTTCTTCCTCAGTGGCACAACAACAGCGCGGATAAAAGTTAAACGTGGAGCGGCTGCATCAGGTTTTGGAGCGGTGCGACAGCGGCGGAGTGATGGAGGAGGCTGCATGTACGCCTTTAGCATTTGTTGGTGTGTTGTGAGTGAAGTGGTTTGAGTTGGATTTTGTACAGACTGCCAGCCAATAGGAGCCGCAGGACTGAGCTGAGGTCTGTCTCTGTCTCCGTCTCTCACACCGGTGGGGAGGATGAGGATTTTTTTTTCTTTTTTTTTTTTCTGGGAAACAAATGTCTCCAGCTACTTTTTTGACGCACAGTCCTCAGCCAATGGCAGCGAGAGAGGGACTGACAACATCCCCATCCCACCGCAGAGAGGGTACATTGATAATAAATAAAAACGCTATGCCGGTGGATGTCGAGAAGTGGAGTTTAAACCGAAGAAAAGTCAGTTTTTATTATATTTTATATGCGCTGTTATCCAGTGGATGCATTAAACTAAAGGAAGGCTGGGCGCAAATAAAGAGTTTCCTAAAATATACATAGTATATATTAGTGGTGTGAATACATGCTTATATTTTTAAAATATGTTCCAATGCGTAAAAAAAACATCCAAAAATGTTATTTCTATTTTTCAGATTCATTCAACATTTAAAAAGTTGCAGACAATCGCTGAATATTAAAACATCTTATAATAAAAACGCGGACCATATGCATCCGAGCAAAACAATTGCACGTTTTTTTAGTGTTTATGTATCTGCATGAAGCATAAAAGAGTACATAAATATGTGCCAAAAAGACAGAGGGGTGGAAAAAAATCGCCTGCACTGAAGCAGGGCTCTCAATGTGAAGGCTGCACCGTCCTCTCACATTCCAGCGCGTCGCAAAAAAGGGGGATTTAGAGCGACTTATTTTCTTAAAACTGTCCTCCCATCCACAGAGCCAGCCAGTCTGCTCCCATCAGCCTCATACGGGCCTGCACCAAAATTCACCCACAATATTTACAAGGGGAGTTCCCAACCGAGAGACACCGAGCAGCCGAGGACTTAAGCAAGGCACCGGAGCTGCAGTGTGCACGCACCCAGGGATGAGGAGAAATTAAGGCGGAGGAAAAAGGCAAATAGGCCGGTGCTGCTGATGGAGACTTTCAGCTGACAAGAAGTAGATGACAGAAGAAAAATGTGAAGGTAGGCCTTTTATTTCAGGTTGGATTTTATAGTGAAGTTTTGTGTTGTTGCATGTAATAATAATAATAATAATAATAATAATAATTATAATAATAATAATGTGGCGTTTTAAATAAAATTAAGTTATAATAGCTATTTAGTTATTATGTTATTTTATATTTACTGGGGGAGCTACCAGCTGCAGAGGACAAATAAGCTTCCTCTATGTCACTTGAATTTTGAACCTGTGTGCCCATCTCAAAATAATATGCCGAAGGTTTTTGTCACGGCTTGGTAAATGTATCATCTTAAGAGGCTTTGCGGAACACCTACACACTCTCTCACACACACACAGCCACGCACACACACTGCGCGCTTGCACGGACACACCCGCTCACTTCAAACAGATTTGAATATTGATTTAGATTTATAAACACAGGCAGACCGTGGGTTTTATGAATCGTCATTTTGCCTCTCTCTGTGGCTCGTGTGGAAGGCCAGAGTCAAAAGGTGCAGTGACAGCTGCTGCTGGGAGAACTGGTTTCTTCCACTCAGAGCTGCAGCCCTGCTGGGGGGCTCGACCCCCCCCTCCCCAAACACTGATACAACACGCATCAACTTCACAAACTCAGTGACATCTCTTTTGACAGATTTCGATCAGAGGAAGCGGCTGAGTGGATCATAATAAAGCTCTGGATTTCTTTTAACAAGCAAACTGCAGAGGGAAAGTTTTGCTGCCTGCTTTGAGAGGAAAGGAGCAGCAACACGTTCAGGTATTTTTTGTGTGTTTTTATTTGTGTTTGTTTGTGATTTCACTGCCTTATAATACCGGTTTATTTTGTCTTCTGACATGATATAAAAAGTGAAGTAAAATCACATAAACTCACTTGTTTATGTTGATTTAAAATTCATGTCATGCATCGCAAGGGGCAGCTTCAAACGTGTGGAAAGATTAAATCTTATTGGGGAGTGAATTTTTAATTATGTTGATTGCTTTATGACCATCACAAAGGTCACGGCCACGTTTTTACTGCAGCAGTCTCCAAGCAGGGATCATCATGTTCAGTGCGTAAAGTTTAAATTATAAGGCTATAGATAGCTCCTTAAAATGTTTTCCTTTACACCTTAACACATCGGGCCCACAGGACTATCTTTTATAGTCTCAAATGCAACATAAGAATAATCAGCTTGCAGCTATAAACTGTTTTTTTTTGTTGTTGTTGTTGTTTTTTTAAATATGTCAATATTCCCTCATATTTAGCAGCTGCATGGTAATGCGCCCTAACGCGAGACTTTCAAACTGCTGCGTGGAAAATCCTGACGTCTGATGCAGTTATCTGCCGGATCTCACCGTTTAAATTGCTAAATAATTTATTAAAGTGTAAAGCCAGGCCCTCCGCAGGGACTTTGTATCTTAAAAGGACGTTTAAAGGGAGAAGGAGTTAAACGCCTCTGGCGAGCAGCGCTCCCACTGACTCCCGGCTAATTGACGACGACGGCTTTTATCTCCGCCTCTGCTACACTCAACCTGAGGGTGAGGATTTCATCAGGCCTGCTACAACCTGTGATTTCTACCAGTTAATGCGTAGCCTATACATGTGCGCTAATGCATTGCGCAGGCATGGATGTTTGACCCCTTGTTTGATAGCCTTGAAAAGAAAAATCTTATTTCAAGATTTGATAATTACCGGGCAGGCAGCCCCCTTCTCCCCCCCTGCTCTGCACCTTATCCAGCCATCAGAAGAAATAATCAACAAATTATAGAATGGATTATTTTTTAAAAATTAAATAGAACAAATAAAAACACTGCAGCATGCAGGAGAATTTAAATATTGGCTCCTTTGCAAAATAAATCACAGACATTGATTGTCTGAATTTAAACATGCATATTTACCACACATATACATCCTCTAACTATGAAGCCAGTTCCCCTCTCCTCTGCCTTTTTCCCCTCCTTGTTTGATATTCGCATGGCTGAATATGAGGAATGTGTTGGTGGAATTCATTCTGAGCTTTAAAAAAAAAGCCAGAAAAAAAGGGGGGAAAATCCCAAAAAAAGCTAATTCATATAGAAATGATGATAATCTGTCATGTCAAGAAAAAGCTTTTCCTTCTGCTCGTGGGATTTAAATTTACCTCAGTTACTATTACCTTTTGACTATAAAACATAAGTTAATTCTGAGTTGCTTTTAACAACCCTTTCCCCCTTTTTACTTTTAGTTATTAAACACAGAAAGTTAATATTAATACCTCAAATATTAGGTTAAAACAATCTCAAGATCCACGCACCTTCCACACACTTCTTTGGCTTTACAGAATCACATATCTCAGCCATTTTTGACAACAAAAAAAATGGCATACAAAAATGTTTTAAAAATTCTGAAATTATTTAATTTAAGGTCATGTTTATATATAGCACTGAGCGAAGTTGATAAAAGCACTGGGGTTACTATCCTTTTTTTTAAACCTGGCTACAGTGTGTAATTATTGTGGATAGATATGCAGTGTGTGTGTGTTTGGTTGTGTGTGTGAGTGTGTGGGTGACAGAGAGAGAGAGAGAGAGAGAGAGAGAGGAGCTGAAGTAGGATAATCACAAGCTGTATTTTAATTAGCCTGGCAGGTTTGATGGATACGTTGCCACTGCTGCTGCTGCTTTGCAAAAAAGAAAAAAGAAAAGGTGCAGTGCGTAGTGAGAAAGGTGTCTAAACAGAGGGCTTTCCCCACGCTCTTCTCTTATCACAAAGGAGCTAAACCTTTGTGTAATGTAACATGTAACTGACCCTAAAGGTCATCAAAACACATTCAGCCTCCTCCCTGGGGATTAAAGGGGGAGAAGCCCCATTCAGTGTCAGTTTGGGGAGAGTTTAGTGACACAGAGGCACACACACAGGCAGCACTCTGCGTCTGGGGTTTTGTCTCTACAGTTATTCACAATATTACAAATATAGCTTTGGCTCAAAGTTGTGTTTAAAATGATTTTAGAAAATGCTGCTGAATGAGTCTGCGTTCTAGTTTTAGTGCTGAGCTCCTGTAATGAAAAGGTGTGCTGATCATGAAATCATTGGGTTTATTTTCCACGCACATTTCTGTGTGAATTCAAACGTGATGCCTCGATAATGCCGTGGTTGCGTGTGTGAGTGTGTGTGTTTGCCAAGTTTGCGCTTTCCATTAATGACATTAATGACATGCCTTTTAATTAGTGCCATAATTGTTTGTGTTGTGTTTGTGCAGGAGTTCGCCAACAAACAAACAGATGCAATTAAACACACTCGCCTTCAGATCATCAATGAGGAGAGCAAAGTCAAGATTGGTGGAAGAGGCGACAAGGACGAATGGAAGACGGGAGAAGACTCTGCCGCCTCAAGGTTAAACTTGAACTGTGTTCAGAGCCTGACTTCACACAATCTGGATACTTCTGCAAACACACATCACTAGCTGTTTCTTTATATTGAGCATCCTCATTTTACAACCTGATATAACTCTTAATTGATGTTGTATGGTAATGTTTCCTCTGTTTCTTTCTGCCACCGCACTGTCTTGGAGTGATTAAAAAATAATTTGCAAATAAAGACTATCATTGTCAAACCACCACCCTGCTCTCTCCCTCTCTCCCTCTCCACCTTAGCCATGAGTAGCCCTCTCCTCTGTGTGCTGAGGTGTCTGCATGGCGTGGTAAAACCTGCCCTGCAGACCGGACCTCTCAAGTCTTCAAAGGAGGAAGAACTCAATGTGGGGGATTTGTTCAGGCTTATTTGGTAACCTAGGATTTGAATTGGATTCTGGGAGGCATTCATAACACATTTGAAAATGTTACATTGTGTGATTTTGTGTGTAATCCCCATAATAAATTTTAGAAATGGTCACAGCACTCGCACAACTGTGACTATTCATGATTTATCAAATGGTTTTCTTGTCTTGCCTCTCGGGGGTGAGGTGTGTGTTGCCGGCAGGGAACGGGACGATCTCGGGTGTTGGTTGGGAGAGCCAGCGAGGAGATGATTTTAACCTTTCTCTCAACACAGTTTTTTTTTGTGTATTTGACCTGAATATGTGATAGGGTCAGCCACCGTGCCTCCAGAGGGATTCTCTCAGACCCCCCAACAGCACTGGAGTATTACAACCTCTAGTGGATTATACCTCCCTGGTAGGAGGGTTAGTGTACACACACACTCTCTCTCTCTCACACACACATACACACACACACACACACACACTGAAAGTACAGTTTATTAAACTCTGTGTATATTTTATCAAAGCCACAGTCATAGATTAATAAGCTCCTTTCTTTTCTCCATAATGTGCTTTATTCTTTGCATTAATACAGTTAAGTAGAAAACTGTGCGGCTGTATCGTTTTATACTTGTTGCAAAGTATTAAATAATATGCAAGTATAATGAGTCCAATTTTAAAGGCCCCCCGCAGACAGGTTTTACGACATATAAGATACTCAGTGTTGAATAATAATTTGTATCTGATATGGTTTTCCCCCCAAAAAAGTTAAATTACGTCTTTAATAATTATTAAAATCACATGTGCTCTTTCTTCCTTATTGTAAAATCCAGAATCTATGAATATGCAAATATTAATTTCAAGAGTGTAACTGCTGGACATAAGATACCTCCTACATCACTGAATAGTCCGCACTCAGTGTTTGTGCACTAGAGTGGCATATTGGACAACCACAACTGACTTATAGAGGCATTGTGATGTCACAGAATCTTGAGCTCATATTTAAGGTGAACACAGAGAAACGTTTCTCCAGCAAAACTTATTTTCAAATGCAGGGAGCTTTAAACATCACACCCCTTTACCTTCAAAATGAGTCATGTGTGTTTGCAAAACCATTCATTTTTGGCTAGGTGCTTTATTAAAACAGCAAAAAGATAATTCACAACGCAGCATGGTGTGTGAGATAGTCCAGAAGGAGTGAATAATGTCATCCAGTGGATTAACTTTCTATACGAACATGCTCCATCACATGGTTTGGTGGCTCCACTGCTTGGATTTATTGTCTGCTATATGTAACTCTCCCGCCTTCATTCGATAAGAGCGAGAGCAGTGTTGTGTATGTGTGAGTGTGTGTGTGTAAATCAGTGTTTGTGCCCTGTCCAAACCCCACTTTGCTTTGAATGACACTTTGGCGATGCCCCCAGCTCCCCACTTCGACTTCTCAAGCATACCCCCTGTTAGTGCCAACTCTGCCAATTCCTCTCATGTCTTTAATATCTCTCTTTGGGCCCTTGGGTTTTGCCAGTGAAGGCTCCCCAGTGACAGTTGGACATTGCCCTCACATTTGGGAGACAGCGGCGGGTGTTTGTAGCGTTCCCAGCCCCAGGCCTGTGGGGAATCTGTGATGGCTCGCCTGTCAGCCGGCCCCTCCCCTGTAATTAGGAGAGTAAACACAGTGCCTGGCTCGGCTTGGGGGAGGGAAGTAGGAGGGAGCAGAGGAGGGGACCGTCAGGCTCCTGTCCTACTGCTGCTTGAGCTGTCCAGGAACAACTTTGGACTGACAGGCTGCAATATGCACCCCATCACATCTCTGCGAAGGACTAAGATGTGGAGGAGATGCTGGGCAACATCAGATTTGCATTTGTACCTTGTTGAGCATCAGTGAACCACTGAGGAGGCTTTTTTATTTAAACTGAACCTTTGTAGATAAAATACAAAGACACTGATCACTCAAGTTGATCTGAGAGCTGTTCAGACCAGAACGTGAACATGTTGATGAGTAAATGCTGTTTCCTGCGAGGTATTTTGTTCACATTTTGACCAGTGTTATTCCTATGCAGCACCCCAGCAGATAATATAAAACAAACCAAGGCTAAGCCTCCGTCCCTCCTCTCTTCACCTCTCTCCTGGTTGCTGGGGGGACTGGTCAGCAGCTGGAGGAATGTGTTGTGGGCTGGGGTTGTAGCCGTAGTTTGGGACCAGCTCGGGGGGAGCGCCATCCCACCCAAACCCAGCCACTCCACTCTGCCCAGGCAGGGAGGCTGGCTGCGGGAATGCCGAGACCAGGAGGGGAGGAATTTCACTGGAGGACCTGCCAGAGAAATGCCATGCGGGGAGCGATGAAGAGAGAAACCTAGATAGAGAGAGAGAGAGAGGGAGAGAGGGAGAAAAGGAGATCTCAGCCAATTGAAACGCAGCCTGTCAGTGTCATTTTGGTTTTGTAGGATGCTTACTGATGATGGGCCAGTTGCTAAATGAGCTGGTTGCCACACAGACACAGTGGCACCGCATCTGACTCAGATCTTTTCGCAGATGGCTTGGGGTTCACTGGGTGTAACTGAGGTAGCTTCAAGTAAAGTCAGTGCGTCTTAAACGCATTATTGTTTTATGGTTTCGGTGTAAATCATCCATCTGTATTAACCGCCATCTGTCTCTCCAGTACATGAGCATGATCACATGCACTAGTTTTTGTGTAAGTACATTTTAAATCAGATGGTGTGCATCAGTGTGTGCATGTGGCGGACAGGGAGAGTACAAAGGGAGGGGTGCTTGAAGGCCCAGTGTACTTGCCAAAGTCTTTACGGCGCCCAGAGAGCCATGCTGCAGCATCATGGTCCACAGCATGGAAAGACATGGGGCAGATGGGTGCAGTGTAGCAGCACAACCTCCCCCTTCTCCTCCCAAATGTGAGGCAGCAGTGGTGGGAATGGCACAGTGTGAGAGGGAGCCTGGGTTCATGGCTGAAACAGAAAAGCTGTTGGAGGGGCATTTGGGGGCTGGGGGAGAGTGGGGGCTGAAAGCTGTTTGAGGGGGGGCTTTGGAGAAGTTGGTGGGGCAGGCATCCTGCAATGGAGAGGGAAAGCCAGTCCCCCTGTCACATCCCTTTGAAATCCAAGTGCAGGGGCACGAGCCCAGGGAGGAGTGGCAGCGTGGCCCAGCGCCTGGGCAGACAGGCAGTCACCGCACTGGGCCACAGTCCAGCTCGCCTCGCCTGGCCCCTTCCCACCCCAGCCCACCCCGTCTGGCCCAGGCTTACGGGAGTCAGGCAGCCGACCCCCAGTGGACAGGCCGGAGCCCTACACTACTGAGTCCCATCTCTGAGCCTCTGCTGGGTTCGAAGCAGCGGCAGCGTCCACCGGGAGAGGGGCCCTGCAGCGATGGCGGGGGGTGTGGGTACCTCCGCTGCCTCACAGCACCTCCTGCACCCAGGCCTCTGGATGAGGGCCCAGCGGAGTCTGCTGCTGATGATAACCCCCACCTCACCACCAGGCCGTTCTGCCTTCAGGGCCTGCGCAGGTCCACACATCCCCATGGCAACAGTGGCAGGGCCGTCCACACAATGTGAGTGGGCAACAAGCCAAGTGCTGCCAAATTGGGATGAGGGAGAGACATTTTGGGAGAATGCTCAATCCTGAATCTTTTCACCTTTATTTTGTCTCTGGGTAATCGTGTTTTTGGCTCCAGTGATCTAATATCAGAGACTTGGACAGCATTTGATATTTCAAACAGTGGTCAGCAGCAGCAGAGACAACACCACTTTGTTTTGTGAGGTTCTCCACCACTGCTCCACATTACTTTCACCACTCGTTAGGCTCTAAAATTTTAATTGTCAATTTCTTGACAGCAACGCCAGGCATTTCTAAAACCTCGGGCAGAATTGACCTGATACATTCTGAAGCATTCGTTGTGTGTTTAAAGAGACCTTGTCATAGCAATATTAAGCCTGCGTAAACACAAGTAGTTCAATGACATTCACAGCAGCCACCTAAAGTTGATTCCCCACCCACTCTAAGCCACTGGGAAGATACTGTATAAGTGGTTGGGTGGTGTTTACTGAAAGTGGATATCTGCTGTTTGTTTTGTTGTTCTGCTTTCCGACCGTAAACACTGCATAGATTTCCTTGAGTGGTGTTTGAAACGAGCGTATGTGTGTGTGTGAGTGTGTGCCATGTGTTATATTTGCTGATAACAGGATTTACTCAAATTGCGAATCACCAGTTGAGAAAGGTTAATTGTCAGTGCAACTGGTAGAATGGGTACATGCAATAATTATTAGTCTAAGTTGCTTTATTATTTAGGGACGCTAATTAGGCATTAACTGTGGTCCCCTTTTTGGATCACAACTTCAAATGCATGTCAAATTGCATTAAGTTCACTTTGACATCCATTTATCAAAAGAAAGGAATGCTGTTTTGTAGATGTCCTTAGCGTGTTTATTATTATGAAACTGATCTGTTCTTGAGGTATTGATCAGAAAATTAGCAGAGGGATTTTCAGAAATTGCTCAATGCAGTGCATCCTCATTTTATTCGCTGTGAGGACAATACACTTTATGATTGTGTGTTTTTTGGCTACTGTTGGTTTTAGTTTGCTAATTTAAGATTACATTAAGAAGGATATTTGATGCACAAAATCTCCAGACACTTGATTTGAAGTATATTCTCAGTCTCACTAGTTATTACTCCTCCAAGAAACACAAGGTTTGGTCTGTGTGCCACCCATGTGGATGAGGCTGGCATGAGTCTGGCACTAAGGTGAGGTGGAAAGTGACAAGGAGAGAAAGCAAGAGATCAAGGCATGACTGCCAGTGCATGTCATTGCCCTACACTCTCATCAAATAGCCCCGTGCTGCTTATGTTGCT